CATCATCATCATCATCATCATCATCATCATCATCATCATCATCATCATCATCATCCCCAAAGAGGTTGGGGGGGCAACAGTGGTAAAACGCTGCACTGACACAGGTGGTAGCAGCGGTGGTCGCAGTAGTAACCAAGAAAAATGCCAGAAAGGCAGCTCTGGCTGCTCCAGGTTTAGCCAGCCAGAGCATGGTGACCGCCATGACAGCTGCAGCATAAACTGTAAGAAAAACAATTCCTCTAGTGGACATGTGCACTAATGTAGTGGCCGTGTAGTCGCATTCATGGGGCGACAGCAACAGTACCAGTCTCAGTAACTCAGTAGTAGGACTGCATAGTCTAGCATAACCTGTGCTTCATCAGCCTGTACAAAACGACACCTGCGCTTCACCTACCCCTTGGCACACCATGGCACATCCTTCCCCAAAGGTCGTTCTGATGGAGCAAATCGAAGACATTCCTGCGACTCAGTCAAGTTGAATTTTGTTCCTCTGACTTCAATTCAAAAAAACACCCATTCAAGCAAACTTTGGTTCCGTTCCCACCTTGATGATTCGTGACACTTCTCGAGGCAGCTCTGGCAGCTGGCTCATATCGGGAGTCCATCCAGCCCAGCCTGCACACGAACAAAAGCCAATCAAACCTCCAGGACTGGTTATGCTGCTCTCCAAAAAGAAGGAAGCAACACCACAGGCCTACAGATGCTAAAACTTGTCCGAAACTCATATCTTTGTGGGGAAGCTTTTGCGTGAGCATCTCCTTGGATAGCAATCTTGAAAAAGTTGTGATTCACTCTGAAACGGCCCACTCTAACCCCCTTTTCTTGAGAGAGTTTGGATTGGCACTGGCTTCGTTCAACTTTGCAACAAAGAGTCCCACATTATCACCTTGGAGATATAGACACAAAAGCTCGTGAGTGTGCGGATGCCCCAACACTCCCCGACACACTCTCATGGCTGAGGACAGGCACCCCAAAAGAGTAGATGTCCTCAGCTCCAGAAATGGCAACTATAGAGATCACCCTTCAGGGTCCAGAATGCCGGACCGCTACGAGTAAATATTCAACCACCCGATACTTCGATGTCGAATGTTCCTGTCTTGCTAAGTCTTGCCACTAAGGTACTGCGGCAGGTCCAAGGGCTTCCATTCGTAGCACCTCCGGAGCTGCCCAGTGGGGCGTGCCGCAGCGATGATGTGGGGACGGATGGCACCGAACCTCGAATGAGCTCCAAAGAACTGAAAGGGCCTTGAATTGAGCGACAAGAACAAAAGAGCAAACAGCTACGAAGGCTACACAAACGAAGAGGGCTCCAAAAAGAAACGAAGAAGGCTTCGTACCACAAACTAGCTCTTCAGATGCAAATCCGACGAATCTGAACAATAACTTGTGCATTTCATTCGGAGCACCACCAATCACAATCTGATACCATGAAAAATTGAGGCAGGTCACAGCTGCATGACCGAAGTCACAAATGCGCGGAATGGGGTGCCTTGAAGACCTCCGCATGCCGCAAAGACGAAAGAAGCAAGGCTGCCAATGTCCAACAGCCGGACCAGTGACCGGTGCTTGCTTCTTGACTTCCCAGCAATAGACAAATCTGGGGGTCCGACGTAGTGTAGTCAATTAAAATGTTGGACGATTTCAAGTCAGCATGAACCAGATTCCTCTGGTGAATGTAGGTAATTCCTGCCAGCCAGGCGCCCTCAATTGAAAACATCTGATCAAGCAGGAAATTCTAAGGATTGGCCACGGAAATGAAGGCAGAATTATCATGGTGTCCTGAGATAATGCCAGTCCTGGGTATATAAGCATGATAAGTGTCCATATCCAAAGGTTTGCATCAGAACATGGGCACTGCCGACCTGAAAACAGAACGCACCACAACTTCAGCCAAGGAGCCCCAAACTCAGAGACAAGGAAACGGTGAGCTCGCCATGCCATCGGAGCTTGTAAGGCCTATGCCATCGGAGGTCAGGAAAATGCACCGGCACCGATGTCCATATAGTGAAAGCTCCACTCGGACAAGAAAGCCCCAAGCAGCAAGCAAAACTGCGTCGCTGTACTCGAACACTTTAACCATACCATGCTCAATACTCTGGCTGCTTCTCGGGCACTGATGGATCATATCAAAAAGGGAGCCTCAGCAATTCACGAGCTGCTACGAGTGCCTCTTTTCAATAGGCATATTCAATTACGTCTGGAGTCAGTTGTCAGGAGTGTATACACAAACGTAAACTATCTAGAGACATATATATATATATATATACCTGAGAAGGGGGGGACGAAAGCCAGCAGCCGCCAGACGAGTGTCTCTTTTTCTCGCGGGCGTCGCGGCACAAAACACATGGTCGGCAGCTTGCGAGTCAGCGGTGCTGTGGATGCGGGGGGGCGTATGTAATGGTGATGGAGGGAGCAGAGAAGCAAGCCGGGCGGCCTTGGGATAAGTTTGGTATGAAAGAAGTAGCAAAAGAGAAGTGCGATACGTTGTATGTTAGTGTAGGTCATCATCACAAGGCAATGGCATGTGTTTGTCACACGCAGGAAGGTATGCGTCTTATAGAAGTTGGAAGGCGACATCAGCGTTAGCCAAGGGGAAATACCATCTGAGTTCGGGTGGTGGGATACCACGTGCGCGCGCCCGCCCAGCGCGCAGGAAGACCTTCTCCATAGTCAGCGTCGCCGCGCGCGCGGCGAATCAAGTATGTGTTTGTTACATTTGGCGTGTTTGAAGTTTGCAATGCATACTGCGGCACGTCGAAAAAAGCGGCATTCGTTGATTTGGAAGAGTGAAGGGGCACGTCTTAGCCGGGACACGGACGTTTGATCCCGCGGCGCAGAAGGGGAGGTCGTGCGAGAGTAGCTTGGGCTAGCAAAGGGGTGAGGATTTGTGTGCCTATCGATGCACATGCCTGGACTTGAGTGAGTCATGTCCTGGCTCGATCCAAAACACAGCCTTTTCCCTTTAAAGGGGGCTTTATTAAACGATCCAAACACCTTCTTTATTCTTCTCTTTCTCATCAACTCTGCGCTTTTCTCACTCAGAGGCCTTGACTTTGGCACCTGCGTGTGTAGATCTTTGGGCCGTGGACCCAGGCTGACTGGATTCGGCCAGGGCTGCCCTCTCTCTCTCTATCTATCTATGTATGTATCTATCTGTCTGTCTATCTATCTGTATTGGCAAGCCGGAAAAAAACGTTCGGTGCGACTGAGGACATGGTGCAAGTATAGTTGTGGCCTTTGCTAGGGGGCAGGAACCCTATGCGGATATGTAGTCAGCCTCGCACGCATCCCCACCGAAAGTCCATCCAAATTCATGGACTTGAACTCATGTCACTTTCGGTTCTCTATGGACTTCGCGAGTTACGGGTTGTCCTGGGAACTCAAATCCTGTACGTGGGTCCCTGTCTCCACTCGATTGCTCGATGCCCATTGCCCAAATAGCCTCCGAAGCCCTTCATGATGCTAATGATGCACTACTCGGCGTCCATTGCATCACTCGCATCACCAGACCCCATTGTCATTGCTTTTCTGACCCTCGCTTTGGAGCGCTCTCCCCCACCAAGCCCCCGCTCCCCCCCCACACCCCTTAACTCACTTCGTTCGCTCTAAAAGCTCAAGCCTAGCCTATCGGCTGGCTTTCGTAATATATGTACATTTAGTTTATTTGTTTATGCACATATATTTACACATATTTACACACATATTCCACCAAGTTGCAATCCATGAGCTCCGAAATGATGAAATGTTTCCTAGGCTGCAGAGAAGCCGGCCGAAAGATCATTGTGCTAGTACGCACGTGTGCAGGCAGGCTTCCGCTGAACAGTGTCAGTGCAAACACCCACAAAGGTACAGATATTCGGGTGGCTCAAAGATGCCATGACCTCGGAGCCATGACTCAGTGCAGAACCAGGTCGTTTGTCAAACAAAGTAAACGAAAGCTTGGTGAAATCCACAGAACTTGGTGTGGTGCACATGCTTCTTTGAGGAGCTCGTAGAGTTGAACTTTTCGTTCACCTTTCATGTCCTCACAACAGAGCGCAGCCGCTCCTTTTCTCGCTTCCTGGCAGCCTGGCTACACTCTGACTATCTCTGACTATATGTATCTAGCCTATCTAGCCATTGGCTCCTGCTTGGCAGAAAGTAGCAATAGCAAATAGCAGTATATATCCTCTTGCTAGCGTCCTTGACTGCCACCAGGTGTGTTCTTCGAGCCTGACTGATTTGGCTCGAACTGCAGCAGAAAACAGTCTCAAGAACTGTCGCAAGTGCGTCGGGCGCCCCGGGCGCCTGGAACGCGCCTCCAGCTCGATCAACTTTCGGCTCCTGGGCTGCCCCCGAGTGGCCCTCGAGTGGCCGCCGGGCACAGCGCACAGCATGCTGTTTAATGAGCCAAGTCATGCCAAGTCTCTAAGACACCTCTGTAAACAGTCCCATAGCCACCTTGCGAAATCTTGGACACCATGGTGAGCTCTTCTTTCCTGTCTCCAGAGCCACTCAATGAAAAGTTGCAGTGCAAATCAAATTGCTAGAAATTGCCAAGATGTGAGTGCAGGAAAGGAGCGGTATGATGTAGTGGCTCAGAACCGAGTCACCTTGGCAAAGCTTTGCGCAAAATACGGTCCTGCAAAACCCAGACAAAACCGTACGATCAAATGCAACCAAGCAGCTAAGAATGTCCATGCTTCTGTGGTTGCACACGTTGTTCTCGAAGCGATTTCCATCGAGCATACCTCGAAACACCCTCTTTGACAGCTGCACCTAGTGCAAGTTGTCTCCACAGCTTATGCTCTCCATCTGCCTTTTCTCGCCCCCCTCTCTCAGTTCCGCCAAGACTCGTTTAAGAGCATTCCGTACTACAAGACGCTCCACTGGCGTCACCAGACCTAGGGCTTTGCGGAGCTGACCATTAGTCATGCTCAGGAACCTCAGCTGTCAAGGAATTCACAGTCATTGCCTTTTGACTGCTCCCTGATGATAGATGCACTCGACGATTGATTCAATACTCATGATAGTATATAAACACGATAGGCCTATGTATGTGACACAGCAACAGCAAGCATCACCAAGCTATGAAACCATTTCCTTGATTGTTGCTGAAATGATGCCCCCCAAGCCCAAGCACATTCCATTGTGCCGAGGCACTGCGTTGCGCCCTTGAACTGCTGGCATAACACACGGTGACTTACATCGGGACTTAGCCCAAGGCATGCAATAAACCTTGGCAATTGTAAATTTGTAAATTGCAGTGATTGCAGTGATTGCAGTGAGCAACCACCGTTCTGTAGCAAACGCCATGACTTGCCGTGACTGAGGAGTCAACGCGGCCAGCTCATCCTGATCATCATCCCAGCACCAGCGGACACAAGAACACAGGAAGGCACCAATCCTGGCCTCTGTCCAGAGCATTGGAGTTTTTCGGATAGGAAGCCTTTTAGCCGCCTTTTTGGCAAGATCTGCGTGGTGTTCCTGCCACTCAGTCTTACGTTCATTTTTGAAGCGGGACAGACCTGAAAGCAGTACCTTGCAGCTTTCTCCATTCTTAGAAGCTAGTAGTAACAAGTGCCTCGCAGAAGCTAGTAATGAGTTGTTCAGTTGCTCCAAGATGGTCCTGGGATGGAAATCGTGCAGCTCCACTGCTACCTCCTGGCTGTTTTGGACACTTGCTTCAAGCAACCAGATCTATATATATATAAGCTCAAAACCTGTGAGGAACCACATCGAAGGAGAGGAACAAAGGACAAAGGAAGAGAGAGACACCCAGGCCGACAAACGGACAAACAGATGGGTATAGAGAGGAGAGGCAAAGAGACTGGGGACGCCCATGAAAAAGCTTGAGCTGTCCTCCAGCGGCACCACGACTCAAGTGTAGGCGTTGAACGAGCCCATCCATATCCCCTGACAAAGCAGCACGTCTTGAATACGCCCACAGTGAATACACCCCGCAAAGTCAGCCTGAATCCAGGGGACCTCCGCGACCAGGACGTTCCAAACGAGACACCTGTGGTTGGCTCAAAAGTGAAATTGGAACCGATTGTGAACGCCATTTTTTCTAGCCCGCTCCTACTTAATTAAGTAGGCTAGCAGGAGTTCGCTCCAAAGCACTGGATGTAGGATACCTCACGCTTCTTCTAAGGGCGGGGGAGAGCTTCCTGGAAGAAGCGCTCGCACTAATAATGTGGTTCCTAGATACTTAGGAAAACGTGACACACAGCAGACCCGTGCCAAATCACTGGCAGCCTGTGGGGAGATGAAGTCGTTCTCTTCATGCATTTGGAAGACAAAGCTGCCACCTTCGCCTCAAAACATCAACCCAAGGTATGGGGACGGACCTGCTTGCTCCGATGCATCTGAGCCAACTGCCAGTGGCCTCCCCAGGTGACAGGCGATGTCCTCCCAACAGCTCATAAGCTTAGGCATACACACACATTGCAGGCTCCGCCAACAGCAAATCATCAGAACTTGTGTTGGGCCTGTGCTCTCACTGGAGCTCCTTCGATCAGAAGGTGCGGGCCCTGTCCCCACGCCATACTGCAATGGTGTGGGCTGGCCTTGAACAATGCTACTCCCAGCTTTGAGGGAAAACATTTGGCAAGGTCACAACAGTGGCATTTGATGGCCACAAAAATACAACGTCACACAAATCAAAGCGTATCGCCTGATTGCAATGAAGACTGAACTATGCCCAGTTGCCCATTGAAGTTCCAGGACTGGAGATGCGCTGACCCATAAAGGTACCTCCGCAAAAGCTGGCCTCGGCATCTGTAAGTCTCAGCGGAATACATATAAATCGCCGCAAGCAGCAAGAAGGGTGAAAGACGGCAATAAGTCAAAAAGGCACGGTACGATGTCAGGTGATTACAATGCCCTGCAGCTTTGAGTGCGAACAAGGCACTGCTCCAGCTTGAAGAGCTGGTGTTGCAGGCGTTCCAAAATCACCATTGGACCTTGGGACATGGGACTTATGCTCATTCATTCGATGATGAAAGCTGGCACAATACAAATACCCTCACGCCAATCACAACTTGATGACCCTTGGTCGTCTCTCAGCATCACGCCCATTGCGAGGGATGGGTATCGGCAGCGGAGTGCTTCGTTTGGCACTTGCAGTAGATGTACTGCCCTCAGCGCAGGGCATGCAACAAATCTAAGATCTGGATGAATCTTGCCCATACTCAAATCTGAGGCATCAAATCAAACAAACACACGCGGGCCAAGCATCGCTTTCATTCTCACCCGGGGAAACAGTTCCAGGAGCTGGAGCCTCCAGGAACTCTCGACACTCCAAGTGGGAAAACCACTCAAACTATGGTGTTTCTATTGCCCTTGCCCGCCACAACCTTGATGCAGAACCAGACTTATATATAAACCGGCTTGGACTTTGTTTTACTTGAAGTGCTAGTCAAGGCCTCAAAGGCGATCTCAGCCAATGATGTTCGAGCACCAGCATCCACAGTTTGCCCGAAGTGGAAAGTCGCACTGGTCGGACCTAGAATTTGCTATCACTCGGTTCGTTGGTGATCTTTCGCCACTGCCACACCTTTTCTGTATTTTCTTCGAGGGGTTTGAAACGCTTCTCGGTTTCTTCTTGCAGGCATTGCAGGCAGGGAGCTTCCAGCCAGGACAGTCCGCCTGACTCTTAGCCCAGTAAGACATCCAAGTCAAATGCATCAATCATCACTACACATCCAAGTTGCAAAGTGTCCTGGTTGGCCATAGCTGGTGAAGACCTGGAACATGTGGATGCTAGGGCCACTTGCTGGATGAACCCGAACAAGCTACCATTGACGAAGGCCCCGACTTCCGCTGCAAGTCTTCAATCTTGTAAAGCTCCTGCATCTTCGCATGAAGAAAAAAGTCCCTCTAGTCCAGGCAGTTAGTTCTTTGGCGAGGCCTTGCCTACTGTGAATCTTCCAACAGACTCTCACCCATGACAAATGAACATGATATTTATGTGCCGGGCTGCATCAAGCTCTTGCTCCAGCGCTTCATTCAATGGCTTCGGACCTTCTCTCTGCTCTGGTTTCTGGCATCATTCTATGGAGCTGAGGAGCTGAGAGGGTCTGAGTAGCTGGCGGCTATTCGCGTCCAGCACTTCAATGCCAGCTGCACCCTTGGTCAAGTGCATTTGAACTCCACGGCCCGACTTCTTGCCATTGACAAAGTTCCCGAAGTACGACCTCGAGGCGCCATCTTTCACGAAGCACCCGGCGTTATAAAGCATGCAGCATGCATAAGCAGTTGAAGCACTTGCTTGTCAAAGTGGCACGTACTCAGGGGTTTCCTCCACACCAAGGCCGTGCTGTAGATCCTTCATCAATTCTCATTGGTGTTCAAAACTGCCCTTCCACCCAAGCAAAAAACATGGTCCTCCTTCCAAAGCCCTTCATAGCGGTAATCCGGCATGCCCTTCAAGAGGAGACAAAGCGGAATCATTCCAATGACTCTGTTGTCGTTTGGTCTGGGGAGTAGTTGGACAGGCATTGTTGCGCAGTCAATTTCTGTATGCTGTCAAGGCTCCGCAGGCTCCTACCAGCCGGGAAAGAAATTATCCAAGTCACTGTGCCGACCTTTTGATCATTTTTGTACAGTAAAGTCACTGCCAACCCAACATAGCTGCAAAGTCCTGCGAATTGGTATTGTCAAGGAGAACTCCCAAGCCGTGCTTCTGATTGTTCATCCATTGCCCAACCTTGACACGCAAGAGTCTAGATAAAGCAAGCTATTGCAAGAACGACCAAGAAAGTCTGCCAAGCCACGTAAACACCGCCATTCCGATAGAAAAGCACACCATACCCATGTTTTTTGTCCTGCACTGCAAGCGCACACGCGCAGCCGGACACAAAGAGACAGAGAGAGAGAAAGAGGGAGAGAGCGAGAGCGAGATCGAGCGAGCGAGCGAGAGCGAGCACACTTTGTGAACCAAAAGCAGGTCCTCTTGCCATTGGCCATGATACCTTAGGGTGCTTGGTGCCAGCAAGCCTTCTGCGAAATTCGTGATGCACTGGACAATGGCAAACAAGCCCCGCACTGTTTGTACACCTCATGGTTTCCGCTGGAATAGACCTTGGATGTCCAACTTGAGAAGCAAGTAGAGGAAGTGGCAAGTGTCCTCTCATCTGATTCGCAGGGACAGGCTGAGATCGCAACGTAAGTGCCAAGACCATGCCGCTTCTCACCTTCCGGAAACTGCTTGCAGTTGCCAGTGTAAACCTGGCACAAAAAGCACTGGTGACTGGTGTGTGTGTGTGTGTGTGTGCGTGTGCGTGTGCGTGTTGAAGCACCGCAACAGCTTAAAACGTCAGGCAGGCATCTCCATTGCCAAACTGAACTGACCTCACTGACGAACAAATTGTAGTTGGAGGTTGTAGGTGCTCACCAGCGATTTACAGCAATTGAGTCTTGGGTTGCAGCATCTTGCGTAGTAGCTTGTTGTCAACTTCCAACTGGTTCTGCCTGAGTTAGACTCAACACACGAATCTGGCACCAATAGGATTTTGCCGCTGGCCCTCTTTCTGTTGCTAGCTTCCCTTGCAGCTGAGCTCTGGAGGTTGATACTACTTCCCACTCCGGCGTTAGTTTTTCTGCTCCCAAAGCTCGGCATGCCTGAATCCATGGCAACATGGAAGCAAGTCTGCCTTTTTCTGGCACTCTTCTCACAGCACCACTTGTGTCGTTCCTCCACTTTTGCTCCTTCTCACTCATCCATCTCTTCATCCTCCGCAGTCTGACCCTTCTCTCGCAGCGTCCGCAACTCGCGAAGGCGCCCTGCCAGCAGCCCTCAGTACAAGAAGTGCATTGAACATGGTCACCAAGTCATGGCACCAAGTCAGTCACTTCAAGAGACTATAATCGAAGCAGTCAATTATAATCCAGATTAGTGGAAAATGAGAGATGTGCTGGCCAAGTTCAAGCAGGGCTCTTGTTTGCTGCTCTGGCTTTCCATTCAAGCGCCTGAAGCGGACATCTTTGGCTGCAAGCCTGCGCAAGAGTCTGTCGAAGCTGTCCCCGCCAGTTGGCTCTACATCTTCACCTGCTGTGGAAGAGTCAAAGCATCCTCATGTCAACATGTTCAATCACCACAAAAAGGAGAAACACAAAAATGTTCCAAGTAGACCAAGCAGCAACCACGCAGGTGCTCACATGTTCTCAGCCACTTCTGGCAATCTTCAACAGCAAGGTCATATGCCCTTGCACGCCATTCAACCCACGCTGCTTTGAGCACATCCTGACGGGATCTTGTCAGAAGGCATCGACATTTCAAGTCCGCAAAAGTTCCGCAGAAGTCATAAACTGCAAAGCGATGCCCTTTTTCTTAGTAGCTTCTTGTTCCTAGTAGTACGGCCAGGGGCTACTAGTAACGTCCTTGCTCCTAGTAGCGATGCCCTCTGTTACTGTAGCGTCTTCTTCCTAGTAAAAAAAGTCAGGAGCTACTAGTAGCGTCCTTGCTCCTAGTAGCGATGTTTCTAGTAGCTTCTTGTTCCCAGAAGAAAGGCCAGGAGCTACTAGTATCGTCCTTGCTCCTAGTAGCAATGCCCTTTGTTACTGTAGCTTCTTCTTCCTAGTAGAAAGGCCAGGAGCTACTAGTAGCATCCTTGCTCCTAGTAGCGATGCCCTTTGTTACTAGTAGCTTCTTGTTCCCAGTAGAAAGGCCAGGAGCTACTCGTAGCGTCCTTGCTCCTAGTAGCGATGCCCTTTGTCACTAGTAGCTTCTTGTTCCTTGTGGAAAGGCCAGGAGCTACTAGTAGCGTCCTTGCTCCTAGTAGCGATGCCCTTTGTTACTAGTAATTAGCTTCTTGTTCCTAGTAGAAAGGCCAAGAGCTACTAGTAGCGTCCTTGCTCCTAGTAGGTCCTAGTAGCGATGCCCTATGCTACTAGTAAAACACGCAATCTACAGGTCCTCTGGCATTCCGTGAAAGGCTCTCGCAGTTGCCGCGTCGGTTCGCGCGTCGAACGCTCTCGCCACAACCTCCTGCAGTACTCAGCAACTGTAGGCATGCCATAAGTCTAAGTTATGCCTCTCGTTGCACAATGTTGCACAAACTGTTGCAAGAAGCCCCATGAAACTCCATTGTGGACTGCACTCCTCAAACTCCAACTCAGGGCCAATGGCTTCAAATCCAGCATTCTCCAGGATACATACCCACGCCTACTGTTGACTCGAGCCGAGCGAGTGGAAAATGAAAAGCATTGACCAAAGAATAACAATAGCATTGACAAGCATTGGCATGGAAAAAGGAAGAAATCGTCCAAGCGCGTTTGAAGCACGTTTTGTTAGCGTTGTCGCCGACGGCCCGAGCCTCTCGACGTGCATCAATTGCTCTTCTCTGATAATCCAAATAGATCGGCTCCAACTCCTCGTCCTTCAGGTTGAAGGTCTCATGCAGCTTCAGGTCACCCAATTCCTCCTTCGCCTCAATTGAGATGGCTTGAGGGCATTTATATATTTGGCGTCATGTGGGCATCAGCCACAGGTCTAAATCAAGGCCAAGGGTTCAACAGGTTTCATAACGTTTCCTCTACCGTTTAGAAGGCTACAGGTCTTTGATGCGCAGCAGAATGATGTCAAATGTAGGTTCTGTGTAGTTGTTTTTTCTCGGAGCATTTTGCAGCAAACCCCAAATGTAGACATTGGGAGAAAAAAATTGAAGCACCTGTGCTTTAAGGATGACATCTGCAGAAAACAATTTGAGGCACCTCCTCCCACGTCAAGCTGAAGGGATTCTTCACGCGCTCAGCCAGCATACTGCAGACTCTCTCCTCAATTTCAGTCAGTTTCCTCTTCTTTCGCGCTTCCTCGACTTCAATTTGGATCTGCCGTTGCTTTGCCTTTTGCTTCCTCTTTGCTTCATCCAGTTCTCGAACAATTCTATTGTAGATGTCCTCACGCTCTGTTGATGGAAGGTTTGGCCAACATGGGTCATCTTCAAAATGACGACGCATTTTTGAAAATGAGAGTGGATTGTCCTCCTTTCGGTCTCTTCCTTTTGCATTCAGCGTTCGGATGACCAGTGCCCGGAAGGCAGTACGTGCCTCATCTCTCTGCTTTTCAACCCGGTTGGTGGCCTCTTGGACAGCTTCCCCAACCATGCGTTCCTTGTCATGATCCGGCACAGCATCCCAGCGCTCATCATCCCCAAAGCGACGTTCCATAGCCGAGAAAGCTCTCTCGGCCGTCCTTCCGTGGAGCAAGTCCATTTCATCTGCCTTCACTATAAGTTCTTTAAAGGCTTCTCGTCCTTTCAGCTTGGATACTGCTTGCGTCTTGCGTTTCTCGCTGTCGATGCGCTTGGCCAGCATCTCAAAAAGGAGCTTCCTTTCTTTCTGGACTGTGATCGCTGTGAAGCGTGGGTCATGCACAAGCTTTGGAAGCCATTTGTCATATTTATCAAAGGCTTTCACTCCCTTTTCCAAGAGCAACTGTTTGAAATTTCTCAACTTTTCTTTGTCTTTGGCAATCTTCTGCGCTTCTTCCACCTGCTGGGCTCGTCTCTCAGCTCGTGTGCTGGCTTGGCTCAGCTTTGCTTGGAGAGCTTCCTCCGAGAGTGCGTCATCTTTGGGCGCATCAGCAGCCGGACACTCTGCCGTTTCATCGTCCTTGTCGCCATCCTCCTTTGCATCATTTCCTTCATCAACGGCCCCAAGGCAGCCATCAAGCTCTGCAACATCCTTTTCGATTTCTGGTGGGCAGGTCCAGGATGTTTTCTTCTGTTTCTTGTGGTAGAAGTAAGTGAAGCCCTTGTCAGTTTCCACTCTGGCCCAGCCAGTTTTGCCAATGGTTTCCCAAGATTCAGGTTCACCAATTCTATCCTTCATGGAAGTGGACGCTGTAGGTTTCGGCGCTTCTTTTGGGGGTTCCTGTTTAGATTTGGCATTGGCTTCCACGATAACATCACCGGCCCCGGTGGGTTTCGTCCATCTGGACTCACCCGTCTTCCTACAAAAGAAGTAAGGCAAACCCTGCGGCGACTTGTGCGCTTCCCACTCCACTTTCTCACGGGGCTCAGGTGGACCAGGTGGAACCTCTGCTGCACGGGCCATAGCTGCATCGACTGCGGCAAGTAGGCCCACAGGAGGTGGGTCCAGTGGCGGCCCCGGGGGCCCCTCTAAAGGCAAAGGTAAAGGGCCGGCACACGGCAAAAGCGTCGGAGGTCGCAGTTGGGGTACGAAGATCGGGGCAGGCGGCATTTTAGTTCCGATGCTACCTCCCGGTATGATCTCAAAATGTGGTGCCATGTTCATTGCCATTGCCATGTTGAGGGGCGCTGGTGCGGGTCCCTCAAGCGGCGGTGCTTTGACAGGCAAAGGTGGAAAAGCCTGGCATGGCCTCAGACCCATGGGAGGAAGAAGTTGAGGAATGCTCTCAATCAGCTTGGCTACACTGGCCGCCTTTGATGTGCTGGCAGCCTGAACAGCAGCGGACTTAGAGAGCGCCACCGAAGCCGCTTTGGAGGTATTCGGCTCCATGAGGAAAGGATTGTGACCATGCCAAAAAATTGCTGATCAAGCAAGGTGTATCTTGTTCAGATTGCTCTTTTACTCCCCGTGTTGGATTGAGCCGTTACATCAATGTACTAACTGCCCGTGCCTCAACCTGCATGCAAATGTTTAGCTGCTCGAAAGGAAATGATGTTTGACGGTGTTTCCCTCTTCTTTCAAGACATTCAGCTGAAGCTTGACCCAAAGGCATGCAAACAGCATCTGACATGCGAATGATGCTTTGGCTGTCGACCACTCAAACTGCTGCGCACGGTAGTTACCCATGGCCAATGGCGTCACTGGCAACTCAGAAGCTTCAGTAAAGCAGTAGCATAAGTTTAAGTTCCAAACGCGGACTCCTCACACAAGACGGGCATCTCCAAACACAGGCAGTAGACACTACAACAAGAGCATCCAACAAAAGTCATTTCCAGTGCAGCCACTGCACAGCAGCTGCACACCCAAATTTGCGCAGTCCTGAGGGACTCCCTCGCTTGGCTGTTCACGATCCGAGTTGAAAGACGCAGCACGGCTGAAGCGTTGTTCGGGGTTCGAAGAGCACCTTGGCTTTAGTTGGTCGCCACACTGTGCATGTACTGGCTCGGCTTTCGCTCGGCCTGTCAGTCGGAAAGAAATCAAAACGCTTCCAAGCAGCTCGTACTCTTCCGCAATCCTGGGAGCAATTCGCGGCAAAAGCGTGGCTCATGGCTATAAGATGCTATAAGCAAGAAAGACTTGGCAAAGTAGCTGGTGTTCGCAGTCTTCAGTCTTCAGCAAAGCGGCTCTCCAAGCGAGTTCACTCGACTCAGGTTTTCCCGATCGACTCCTTGCCTGGAAACAGAGTCTCACTCGTGTGCCGAATAGACTCGAATCTTTCACAACTAGTAGCTTCTTGTTACAGGTAGCGATGTACCTTGTTACTAGTAGTAATGGCCTTCAACCTACTAGCGATGGCCTCCAACCTAATAGCGATGGCCTCCAACCTAGTAGCTTCTTGAAACCAGTAGCGATGCACCTTGTTACTAGTAGTAATGCACTTAGCAGCATCTTGTTACTAGTAGTAATGTTTTTCCAAACAACGAACTGACATCCGATCGCCAAAATATGATTGTTCAAGCTGGCTGGATTGGCGTGTTTGAGCGCCACAGCTGCATCAGTGCCTCCCAGGTGTCTAGTTTACGCAAGCGTAAGCCACGTTAAAGACCCAACTCTATTCAGTACAAGCTTTGAAGCCATTCCTGCCGGACTTTTCCTCAGGCCACATCAAATCAGAAGAAATCGTCCCCGTCGTCTTGCCAGTACTCAATCTCCGGCAAAGGATGGATTGCAAGCCATTCCTGCAAACCGGTTCTCTTGACCTCGCCCTATAAGCCCATTCAAAATTCAAACCGCTCTCCTGTGGCAAAGGTGCCGTGATCTTCAAGATTTCTCGTGGTCGGAATGGGTCAGGCATCTCCAACTCGAACAGCTGCATGGTCAAAGTCCGGCGCCATCCTAGCAAGCATTTTGCTGAGCATTGATATCAGCACATGGACTTTGGCTAACAGCCCCAACTCAAAACCCCCAGCCTGGCAAGGATGAGAAACCATCCATCTCCTGCACTCCCTTGCATCCATCATCTCGATACCGCGGATGGTAGGCACGATCAAACCTAAGAGCTTGAGAAGTATCCCGAGACTGCCGCATTGCATTGGGCTCCAAAAAGCTTGCAAGAATGCAGCACAACTCCTTCAAATCACGCCAAGTATCATCACTGGAGCTCCAGCAGCCGCGAAGCAGCGACGCAACTGACGTGCTGCTTTTGTGGATGGCTTGGCCCTTGCTAAGTACATGGCCTCTGGACGTGCTAAGTGTGGAACCATCATCTCTAAGCAAGCGGTGCACAAAAACTTACAAGCTTTTCAGCAAGGCTCCGTGAGCATCTCTGGATTGGAGGGACAATTCTTTGCACCTCAGCTAGGGTGGCCAGGGTCATGTAGATTCATGTAGCCCATAGCCGTGAGTAAATTCCGAAGATCAACTGCAAAGATAGCGGCCACTGTACAAATTGAAGTTGAAGCACTCCGGCTCTTCACCTGTCCAGACTCCAACAGAAGGGCGGTATCTACGTATCTGAGTATGGAAAGCGCAAATCTGAACTCGAGAGGTTGGGCCTTTTGAAAGAAGTTGACCGCTTTCTAACAGCTCAGCGCTGCCCAAGAGTGGCCCTGCTGCAGCAACATCTGCAAGTAGCCGATAGCAACAACGCACAAGCCCACGGCGCCTCAAGCCATCGTCTTTCAAAGAGCAGTATTGGCATAGAATGAAAGTCCAACTTCCACCAGTGCAGCGAAGAGACAGAGTCTCATCAAGCCCCTTTCGCATTGCGTCATCGGTGGTTACCTGAGATGTGCGACTACTTTCTGATAGGAATAGCTCCGACTTGGTCTTAATGGGAGCTGATGGAAGCTGAGCTCCACACTACTGCCAAGCCTTCGGCATCCTTCTCTGGCTTGATTGGGAAAGATATTGAACCTAAGCTTAGTTCTTAGATTAGCAGATTAGCACATCCACTGGCTACACTGCTGTTTTAACATTTGTGAACGAAATTTTATGCAGCCAGGAAAGTGATTGCCCAGAAACTCTCAAGACAGAGCATTGGACAAGACACGCCCCGGAGGTAGAAAGCCTTTTAGGGTGCTTTCCAGTGATGGGGCTGGAGGTGCAGCACCTCCGGCAAACCCAGGAGGCTTCAGCACCACGCACCAGCGATCTCGGAGGGAGCCTAACCTGCAGATGTCGAAGTCTATTCAAGATTCAAGATTATGAAAGTATCTTCGACTGACACTTGAGCATGGACTCCGGATCTCTCAATTCGGATCCACCATTTGGTAGTCAAGAGGCACGATCGGAACATGCAGGCGGCGGTAAGATCCCATGGCTCACATGGCACCATGGCGTCCACATGTCGAAAACGCTGCCCGAATGCATGCACAGCATACTGATACGAGTGCTGTGGACAAAGGGGCACATTTGAATATATAGTTGTCCCAGGCCCAGGCTACTTGCCATTCCTCCATGGTTGCATGCATGAAAGCCAGAAATGCTCGTGCACCCTGTGTAGGATGTTCTTCGAAACTATCTCAAGTCAAACAGGCTGACAAGCGAGAGAAAAGACCACAAAGCAAGAACAAGACGCAGAATGCTAAATCAAAGCTGCCACCGTGTAGGTTTGCTAAGCAAGTTTGTGGCCTGCAAGTCCTTATCAGACTCGGTCGCATGAAAGGGCAAAGGCATAAGCTCCTGGGCACAACCACACAAGGAGGAGAAGGGGAACCGCCAACCGGTGCATTTGGTTCCGACATCCTCCGGACCGGGTTGAACGCATTCTGCCAAAGCAAGTGCATGGCTACCTTTCGCAAAATCCCTTCCCCTCCACAATCTCAGCTCCTTGGTGTTTTGCTGGCCTTCGAGATTTCAATACAAGAGCAGGGGCACATCATGTGAAACACGAGTGTTACTTATCCTTGTGTCCTGCCAGCCTGCTGGCATGGGAACGTCCAAGTATGAGCGAAGCAAGCTTTCCGCTTCTTCATTCTTTGTAGTGAGCTCAAAGGTGTCAACTATGTGGCCCTGGGCACAGCGCAACCCCCCAGCCAGCTCTACAATGCATGCATGAACATAAAGTCCCGCCTCCGTTGTGGAGATGGTTGCAGTTGAGATGCCTTGAGTCGTCCAAGCTGAAGAGTAGAAGTCAAAGCAGTGTGGTTGCCAGGGTGCTGAAGCCACATCGGAACAGGACCAAAGCCGTGTAGGTCAGCAAGCCTGCCTGAACCAGTTGTTTGCTGTTTTGCTTGTCCTTCGTTGATGTGCACACTTACAGCATCCCTGCAGTATGAATCAGACCTGGTTGATGCCCTCCAGGACCAATTTGTAGCACAGCTCATCCCTGAACACCAGTGCTATGCTCACTGCTCTGTCTTCCTCTCCAGTTCCCTTTCTTTTCCTCCTTTCCTCTGACAGCAGTGTTGCCGACAAATTTCGCTCCCAACTTCACCTGGAGGCTCTGCCTTTCTTCACTATCTCTGAGCCTCCGACCTTTGAGGAGGCAGCTCCAAAAAAGTCACAACCTGATCTTCTAAAAGTCACAGCTCTCAAAGTTCTGGAGATTTTATGTTTCTCGTTGAATTTAACATGAATTTAACATGAGCCTAGCCACACTCACCAGATCAGGATTGACTGAGAGCCTTTTCGAGACAGCTGCCAAGGAGTTATCAAAGGCAGGGCCTCTCAGCTACGCCAGGTGCTCTACGTGCTCTGTTGCAATTTATCAAGAACTTGAAAAAGTACTGAGGGGACCGGGGACGAGGTGGAAGTGTATATACTTGATTTCAACATAGAACGAGATTTCCATTTACACTTGATCTTGAAGACAGTGCCTCTCGTCTTCTCCAGCAATTCCTCTAAGTCTCTGCACCTCGGAACGAAGGACAAGAAACCAAAATGGAACAGCTAGCGGCAGCCAGCGCAATCCTATCACAGGACATCCGAGTTGCCATTCCACACAAGCAGCCGTGTCAGAAGGACGTGCAATCCGAACCGTGAACTGGTTGTAAACCTTGTTGTGGCGCAGCTTGTGACAAGTGAATATGACAAACAGGACTCAATTCATGATTCAACTGAACTGTGTCAAATGCTTTGCTCACAAGAGCCACACACAAGACACAGTGTTGGGGTCTTCTTGAATCACTCTTGTCTGAGTCAACGAGACCACTCCATTCTCGGTATTGATTGCTGCACTGCCTGAGGCTGTCAAAGATTGACCAATGCCAGCTTCGCGCAAGTGCAAGCAACATCAAACCGGCTCAAATCTCTACAAACAGCACATCAAAAGGCCAAACCGCCAAGCTGCAGGACACAGTTGGAAAGAAAACATATTTCAAGCCATTTAAGACGGTCATTTGCGAGGCAAACCCTATGCTATGCAAGCTGCATATATCCACCCCATGGCTGGTTAACAGCTCACATATTTTGAAGAGCAATCCGACCTTAGTTCGTTCGATATCTGAGATGTGTACTCCACGTTGCTCCAAATGTATCGTTACATAAATATATATATATATATAGTGTGTGTGTGTGTGTGTCATGTGTGTACGCATATGTATATTTACAGTATTGTGCACGAGTGTCTGTGCGACGAGTTTGAACAAAGATTCTGGAGGAAGGTGCTTGGCATATTATGCAAAGCATTCCTGTGCTCTATTCGACAGGCTCTTGTATAAACCTGCAACCTTCACCATATTCCCCGAGCATCCATCCAATCCAAAAACATAGCAAAGCAAGGAGAGGGGTTCTTGAGTCAAGCAAACACCTTGACTATATAATAATGTTGAACAAAGAAAAACATATCAAACCTGGTGATAAGTAACCACATTGCACTGATCTGCACAGGATGCAAACCAAAAGCCAAGGAACATGATCGTAGCTGTACACCTGTGAGAGAAGTGAGGGGATGATTCAGCAACCGGCGAATATGAGGTTCTGTATCGTTTCGGCGCAAGCAATGGACTACTAAAATACAAGGCCTAAAAAGCACCTTCTACACCTGATTCCAACTGCTTTGTTGCCCGCTTCTACACTCCCCAATGCAAGCCTCCAAGTGACCAAGATGGTTGTCCTCGCGATTGATGTAGAGTCGAACTGGCTTCTCTGGAAGAGTCCTGCAAAATACCCGCGCACAACTTGCAACTGAAGATCAAGTTCAATCTGTGTGAGGTTGACTTCCCCGTCACGGCCCCTCACTGTCACAATTCCGATCATCCATGGCTGCATGTCAAAATCCGAGGCCAAATCCATGGTAAGTTGACCTTGCTGGCAGTCTATTCTGTTCATTTTTGGTGGTCAACCAGGGTCCCCTGGCTTTGAGCCACGCAATATGTCACCGCGTATGTTTTCGGTGTCAACGCTGGTGCAGTCCCAGTGGACTGGTTCTTGTTCTCGTTGATGAGCTCGTCACTTTCGGTCTTCGCCTCATTGGCCTCTTTCGGCTCTTTGGTCCCCTCCACGAATTTCACCACACTCTCTGGCGCCGGCGCCATGGCTTCATGAAAGTGTCACACAAATTGTCCGGTCACAGGGAGGCTGAGTGATGCTGAGTGTTGCTGAGCGTGTCAAATTGTCCGGTCAACAGGATTGACTTACAGTTTCAGCAGCAGCAAGCTGATTCTGCATGCTTGTTGCACATGCTGTAAAATGCTCCTCTTCAAGGATCTTCAAGGTATATATAGAGACATCATGTACCAGAAATATACTCTGCTTCTTCACCACGTGAGATTCCATGAAATCCTATCGACTGATTTCAGCTGAAACAGGCAAGGAATCTGCAGGCTAAGTAGCCTTGCCAGTTTAGTCACACGCACCGCAAACAAGAAACAATGAATGCACAAGGAACAAACAAAAAATGCAGATTTCTCTACATGAAGCTATCTCTGGTGGCAATGAAAAAGGAGGTATAATGAGGCTGGCGTTGACCTGGGTGTTGAAGCAAGCACCCCTGCCACAGATTGTAGCTTCAAGAGCTGTTGACCAACATGTCACTAGGCCTGAATAGTGTGGCAGAACGCAAAACATCCGGCTGCGCCTCCAATTTGGAAAGATCCGATTATATAGAGAGAGGGAGGGAAAGTTGAAATGATTTGGAAAGTAATGTATCTGTATAAATGTATATCACTTCATCTTGGCAGCAGATGGATGAATCCACACCTTGTAAACCCGTTTGACCAGCTCAATGAGATCCAGTCCAGCCTCTTTCCGAAGCTCCTTGCAGTCCAAAACTGCGTATACGTTGGCTCTTGGTGTTCGTTTTCTATCTGCACCCTGCCTCCTCCACTTGCTGGATGCGCTCCTCCCGATGTGTTATGTACATCTTCAGCCTCAAGTCTGTTCTCAGACGCCAGGATAAGCATCAAAGCACATTGGCATCCCGCACCATGCCGCGCTCTCAAGGGCACCAGCAACCACAGGCCTCAAATTCCAGGACACCACCCTTGTTTGTGGCGCTGCGTTTGTGCAATGTGTGACGCCGCGACGCCTTCCTCTTTCAGCACGGTGGTTTGCTCTACGGGCGCCGGGCCCGTGGGCTGGATAAAGCACTTCGGGTGCCTGGCTGGAACTGACAAAACCCAGGTGCCAAAAGAGCTGGAAAGTAGTGAAGAGCTCCAGTGACATGAAGTAGTAAAGAGTCGCAGCAGCAGGAGGAGGAGTAGTAGAAGTAGAAGTAGAAGTAGCATCTGTCGTAGTAGCAGTCGTGTCAGTCATAGTAGCAGTAGTAGTAGTAGTAGTAGTAGCAGCAGCAGCAATAGTAGCATACACATAGTGACTTGGTGAGGGCATGACGTTTGATTCAGTTTCGTGTCTCCTACACCCAGCCCCTGGATCCTGGTCTGCCATGCGCTTGAGCGATCGCATGTATGGCTGCAAGTCCTAACTACCCAATCGCCTGTGACTCTCATGCACATGAGCACGAAAAATCATGAAAGTGTCTTTCAGCTTCAGCATGGATCGAGAGGTCACACGGACCGCATTCACCCAAGTCCTGGAAGGTGCCGGTTCCCCAGCCCAGCCTGGGTTCTTGAAAACAAGAGTAACCATCACAACACAGAGTCCTCACTCTGGAGGTTGAAACGGCATGAAACTGGCCCTGAGGGCTGCTCACATTGTCACCGGTAAACAGCGCCTGCTCTTCCTATCAGGTAGCTCTGAGCAATACATCCAGTAATACAATACATGCTCTGAACCGCAATTTGGGTCAATCAATGATCATGTCCTCGAGGAAAAGGCACACATGGTCATTTGCATGACCTTAGTAGAGGGTTTAGGGGCATGATTTGTAGATTTCATTCTGTTTCCTCAGCATGGTGTCCAAGTTGGCGTCTCAAGTAGGTGCCTTGCCTGGCGTGAATAAAACCCTCAGCGTCGCCCCCTTGCCAAACATGGAAGAAAGACTCGTCCTCTGGAAGCTCTAACTTGCAAGCCACGCCTCGCAGCGAAGTTCCTCCAAATCCTCGGGGGTGGGCCCGATAGCATGCACAATTGAACGCAGGATCTTGCACGTAAAAAGGCTCTCCATCTCTCTCTCTCTCTCTCTCTCTCTCTTTCTCTTTTTACAGGGTCAATTATATAGCCAGCCGAAGCTTGGATGTCCCAATGCCCGTCTCAGAGCCGAAAGAACCACAGTTGAAGCCACATCCTTGGAGCTGAGATTCGACCAACTCTTGGACATCCAGTCGTGACCTTAAAACCGCTCCACACAAAAAGCAGCAAAAAGGAAACACGAGTTCCACAAAGGAAACGGACATTTCAGCACTTCAGATTGAGCTCATTTTGTGTCATTGCACTCAACGTCAATCTGGCCCAGCCGATCACCCTGGACGGTGGCATGAATCGGCCGATGCAAGCTGCTATGCTCTCTGCTCTCTCCTCCAGTCTAAAGTCTTCTCCAGACTGGCCTCGTTTATCCAACTCACCATAATCCAATAAGCTTTGCGAACAACCCTATACAGCAACCGCTTTGGAACAACCAAAGCCCGGCAGGTCAATCTGGTGCCATCTTCTCCACGTGCCAGTTCCAGGCAATGTCACTGGAGCATTGCCGCAGAAGGCTACAATACCCTCAAGCTTCTACCAGTATCATTGAAAGGCTGTAACGGCGGCCTGAACAGAAAAAAGAGAAAAATCAAAGCAAGACCAAGGAACACGTTCAGTCCGAAGCCAGCCTCAGGTGGAAGGTCTATTTCTGATTGGCCTGGCAGCACTCATAGCATGCCATCTCTGGGTTTCTTTGCGTTTGTGTTTGGCCTTTTTCAGGGATTACATGTTTCACTTCATTGAGGATGTGGCCGGCATTCACCAAGCTTGAAATACACTTCAAAGGCCAGTCAAAACAACAGTTTTCATCGCCTGTGAGCATCGTCGTTTCCGCAATCCTTGGAGAGGCGCTGAAAATGCTGTTACAGTACAAGTGCCATCGCAGGAGCTTGTAAACAACATAGGTTCCAGAGGGTGAAGTGTCCAGACAATACATGTTGATTGACGAGTCAGGTGCAAGGATGATGGTGTCGTGTGATGTGCGGCGGTTTCTGTTGCGGTCCTGGGGCGTGTGGTGTCGTGCAACATGGGACAAAATTTGCCCGCATTGCCAACCGAGCGTACAGGAAACCCGCCGATGGTGGAAGAAAAACTTAAAGATATGATAAGATGTCCATGTAGGTATTGAGCATCAAGCACGAAAGCGTGTAGCCACTTCTAGATCAGACAAGTTCTCTTGTGAGCTCTCCACCCTAAAAAGATCTAAAAAGGATGCTTTCCACAAGGTAGCCTCGTCTGTCAGTTTGTTATCCAAGTCTTCTAAGCTACACTTGGTCCGCCCTCTTCCATCCTCCTCTGACGGGCCCTCACGCTCAGCCATCTCTGGTTTGCTCGCAGGGATCTTCGTGGGTCAACATGCACGCAGGACTCCTCATAGGCTATCCTCTCGCGTCCCCTGTAGGTCGTGGTGCACTTCTAAACTCACCTTCCGTGGTGGCCCATCTTGTTCATGTCTCACCCTGAGTGAATCGACTCAGCGATCTTTGTCTCCACTGCCGCCACGAACTATGCCTCGGTCCCTGTCTGTTCTGTGTTTCCTCACGCTGAGTCCTCTCTGAATGCTCTTCTACATCTATAGGTGCGCTCGTTCAGCTTCCTCCGCGCGCACTCCGACTGCTGCTGCAATGGTCTGTGCTTTTATCACCTCGATGTCCGCAGTCGTCAGTTCCGATCTGGCCTCGACGAACACCGCTGCGTCGGTGGCTCCCGCCGTTTAGTAGGGTAGGGTCTTTGACATTTTGAATGACCCTGTAGTTCTCCCGTGCTTGATGCCTACTGATACCTGGTCCGGCCAAACCACGATTGCTGCTGTTGCCCCAGTCCCTTGATGCTCTACGCACTTTCGACGACTGCTGCTGTGCTCCGAGCTTCTCTAACTCTGGCAGCCCCATCGATCATCTTGTCGAAGACTCTGTGGTTCACCCAGTCACGCTGTCGTTCCTACGACCTGGCACCCTTGACTTTCGTGTCCTTGATGTTAGTGGTTTCCATGTTCTTGCAGAATCTGCCTCCACGGTCTCGCTGACCTTTGCCTCACCCAAACTCTGCCTCCTGGTTTTCACAGTCTCACTGAAATCTGTTGCACTGCCTCGCCGACCACTGCTTCAAGTTGACCTCTGTCTTCTTCTGGTTTCCATGGTCTCACCGAAGTCTATCCCCTTGTTCTCGCTGATCTCTGCCCCCTGGCTCAAGGTCTGTAACGGCTTTCTAGCCTCGTGCCCTAGGTCTCGACGACCTCAGGCCTCGTGACCCTTGTCGCGACAAACTCTCTCTAAAATACCATTGTGCCACGATGAACTGTGATTCTCTTAACGCCCATTGCGCCACGATGAACTGTGATTCTCGCAAAAAGCATTGCACCACGATGAACTGTGATAAACTTCCCCCTGTAGTCGCAGCCTCGCCATGATGACCTTTCCCTCAGCGCCGTGCTGTGACGAACTTTGCTTCCAGCCCCGTGGTCCCAGCGTTGCTTCCATTCCCTGTAACCCCTGTAGCCTCGCCGCGATCTACTTTCCCACAGGGATGTGCCAAGATGAACTTTCCCTCGATGAGCTTTCCCTCATGGGCCTTCCTTCAAGGCTGCTTTGCCCCAAAGGGCTGTGCCAAGCCCTCAAAGATTGTTGCGCCACCCCGTACGATGAACTTTCCCTCGATGATCTCTCTCTCAGAGACTCTGAACTATGATGAGCTTTCCCTCAGCTTTCCCTCATGGGCCTTCCTTCAAAGCTGCTTTGCTCCGAAGGGCTGTGCCAAGATGCCCTTTCCCTCGATGAACTGTGCCCCCCAAGATTGTTGCACCACTCTATGCCTCCGACCTCATAGTCGTCGCCCCGCCTCTACTTTGCTCGCTTTCTGCCTTCATGCCCTTTGCCTCGGTGGCTGGCCTACTCTCTTCTTTCTCCCGTTCCTTGTCTCGTCCCTTCAGGTCGCCCTTTCCTCTCTCCTCTGG